AGCCCCAGGCGACTGCAAACGGCCACTCACCAGTGTGTTCCTGGCTGGGATTAAAAAGTATTCCTGCAGGGATTAAGAAATCTCTTCCTCCACAGAGCCTCGGGGACTCTACTGCTGCTGAATTTTGGGTTGGAAAGCAGGTTTTCCCACTCGAGGCCCTTTCCTCTGACTCCCTCCTCCCTCTGCCCTAAGTTTTGCCAGAGTCCCAGTGAGCACAGAGATGTGGGACCTCCAAGGCTCTGCCTTTGAGTCCAGCTGCTGTCCTTGAAACGCTCCAAAACCAGCTCAGACTGGGAGGATAAAATGCATTTGCTGTGCTCGCTCGCTGCCTTGCATTTGAAATTTCTGGGCTCGGTTTAGAGCCCAAGCAAAACACCTTGCAGGAGCCCAGTGCGTGGGCAGGAAACACCTGCTCGCCTTGGACCTCAGGACAGGTCAGAGGCTCCTTGGGAATTAGCAGAAAACATCCTTTGCAGTTATATGTATCGCAAACTAACTTTCTCCCCCAAGTTGCACGTAAAAACTTCAGGGCTGCCAAACAGCAGCGGGCTGTGTAAGATAGCAGCCATTTCCTTCATCCCTGGAGCTGGTAAAGGAGCAACACTGCCCTGTCTATGGGGAAGCCATCTCCGTGGGTAAGCTGAGATCTCAGCTGCATGTTCCTCTCGTGTTTTTTTTTTAAACACCTCAGGCTAGCCAGGGAAATCAGGAATGCAGCTCTTCAGGAGAAATTATAAAAGGGTTTTGGTGCAAGGAACCCCAGCCAAATTTGATTATTTGTCTTTTAATTTTTAAAAAATTAAAATTTTCCAGCTGTGACAACTATCTCATGCAAAATCTAAGCTTTCTGACATCATTTTTATTAAAGAAATGGGAATCTGGCAGCTGTGTCTGCTGTGGCCATTCATGGATGCTGGAGATGTGAAAACACTACTGGAGGCAGCCATGAGCAACCAGAACCATTCAGATGCTGTCTAATCCCTGGAGAACAAGGTTTAATGTCCCCCTGAAATGTGTTACTGTGCAGTATAACAGCACTCAATGATCATGGTATCCATTAAAATAAACAGCTGGGTAGGTAAGTACTGCTGTTTTGCCGATCTTCAGAAAAGATGGTTACTTATTACCTTATCCTCAGATCCCACAGCTGCTGACAGATGAGGAAACTAAGGATTTGGATCACGTTAGGCATGTGTGAAGATACTGGCAGGAGCAGAGCTTTAACAGATAAAGTGAGATTTATTCATTAAAAGTGAAATTTACTTATTCAAAGAGAAAGTTGTTTATTAACCTACCACATGCAAAGGTACAAATAAATACAAATTAAACCCTGACTTGAAAGATTTCAGGATCATCTCAGTTTTCCATCATGCCCTATCTTTATGCGGAGGCAAGTGAACGCAGTTTATTGTAGGACTCGCTGGTGAAAGCGGGCAGGTAGAAGGCACTCGGGCCATGTCAGCAGCTCAGTCTGGTTTAAAGCTACCCATGTTGCTTCCCTGCTATGAAGTTTAATGCTGCCTTTCTGTCTGCTAGGGTGAACTCTCAGATGTCGTGACATGGCTGCAGCAATGTGAAAGTGCTTTAGCTACTGCCCTAGAAGAGCTTCAGAAAGCGAGAATCAGCTCAAGGTCATTACAAATGCAGAACATCTTTCCTTCACAATTTCTAAGAAATAAGTGATGGCAACTATACTGTTAGAAGCAGATGAATAGAAAGAGATATAGTCCAAAGCAGGGCAAACACTGGTGCAAGAAGCGGCCAGAAGCCAAGCTGTCTCGCAGGCTCCCAGCATAGCTCCACAGGAGAAACCTTCTGAGACACTCCACCATTTATTGTGTTGCACAGACCAGGCTGCAGGACTGGCAGACCACAGACTGTATATATCTTTTTTTTTTTTTTTAAGTTTTCTATCCATTAAATAAAAGAAAAGCAATTTGAGTCTACAAGTGGGATTTTCAGTGTGTACTGATACAGTTCTCACTTTGGTAGCTGAATTTAACTGATTAATTAACCCAGTGAACAGCTTTGGCTGCAGAGGTAACTGGCTCATCTCCCAAAACTTTTTGCTTCTTGTGGACAAGCTTAATAGCTAGACAAATTTATTATCCATTTTCTTGCAAGTGATACATTTAATTTGTAACTTATCACTTCCTGAACGATGTCTGGGTGTCAGCTGTAATTCAATGGTGCAAAACCACACCAACGGTAATTTACAGATCCACAAGAGATTTTGCTGCAGCACTAAACTCTCCAGCTGCATGAAGGGCTAGCTCAAACACCCAGCTGGGGTTTAAGATGTCATCTCTGTAACTTGTACAAATCAAAGCCAAGTTTGAACTTGGATTGTAAGGATAACTTTGAGTCACGGTGTACCTAGGGGCTATGCTGGCAGCACAGTCCATTACTCACAGCTGTGCCGCAAGTCAAATTCTAGCCTGTGGGATCAAAGTCATTTTCCAGAAGCCTGGACACCATTTAATATGTTTGGCATTTTCTTTCTATCACGATGGCGGTTGTGCTAGAACAGTAAGAGCCCGCCTGCGGCAGGTCAAAGCACTATTCGCACAAGGGTATTAGCAAAACGCCTCCTCCCTATTATTTTCAGCGTTTGAAAGTTCCCATCCAGGTGTGGTAAGCGAAAGGCATTGCCAAATAAATCACAATATATAACAATCACAACTCACTTAACCTTATCAGAGAGTCGTTCACCTGCTACTTCAGGTTGCCAAAGCACCCTCCTCTTTGTAGAGTCCTTCCTAACCAAGGAGTTTGTTAACTTTCTGCTGCTAAATGTTTTTCCCTGGTGAAATGACTGCCTGCGCCCTAGGATTGTGAGTCAGAATTTCAGAATCACAAGGATGGACGTGATGGTGGTGCAGGTGGATGAGGCCAGGATCAACCACCACCAAAGCCTGATGGAGGACTTCTTGAATCACCTGGACTTGCTGCTGGAAGGCGTGCACAGTGAGCAAGCTGCCCCGACCCACTGGCCACACACCACTGGCCCTGGGCAGAGAACAGCAAGCCCTGGGGTGCAGCGAACCGGGCTGATGGCTGCCCAATGCTGGCTCCTTCGTACGAGGCGTGTGCATGGCCTTGAGGGGCCAGTGAAGATTCGGGTGGGACCTTGGGGGTGTTGGAGAGGGGATGAAGGGAGCAGAAGGACTGTTTCTGGGGCTAACAAGGAAGAGGTCTGCTCCTAGCAGTGTCAGACCAGCTTCTCCTCTTGTCTGATGCAGTTGCCTGCTCCCACCTACCTCCCGAGTCTTTGGGTGCTCAATCATGCTTTTGAGAAACGCCCTCTTCATTTGCCCACCCCTATCCCCACCTAGTTTATCCCCGACCATGAGATCTGGGGTCACAGTACCAAGTCCCAAATTTGAATGCATTGCCAGCTTTGTAAAACATTCTTCTCCATCTTTCCTAGGTGAACTCACCAATCAAATTAGGTGGAGCAGGTAAATCTTTTGCTTTACTTAAAAAATGTTCCCTACAAATTTCTCCACTAGTTGTTCATTCAAGGATCGTGTGTCCTGTGCTTCTCTGCTTTGGTCTGAAGGAGAGCCAAGCAGAGTCTAGAGTGCTGTGCTTCATCTCAAAAGAGAGAGTCAGATCTATTCACATCTCTTATTTTGTTATAAACAAGATGCGATTCGTGTTTTATGACGCACTAACGTTCCACACTTTCTTTACAGTGGGGCTTCAGATACTGGCATTTCTTCAAACCGTAAGTGTTCAAAAATAGTAGTTATTCCTCAGGACTCTGGCCTGGGGCTGTGAGCCTTGCAGAGAAAATATCTCACCTAAAAAAGTGAACAGCATTTTGTTGCGTGCATCTCCTCTCCTTGCCAGAGGTGAGACCGGCGGGAGTGCAGCCTCCAGGCACAGTTCTCAAAATCTGCAGTGGGCAGAAATCTCTGGGAGCTCACCAGAGAAATCGTTTATCTTCAGCCTGAGGGAGAGACTGGGTTTGTTTCAGCACTCAGTAGCAGTCTGAGCCTTCTCCAAGGAAAGACTGTGGAGGGGTTCCCACCAACTGAGCAGGAGCTGGAGCGAACACAGTGCCTGAAAGGATTCCCAGACAAATCCAAATGCTGCAGGAGATACTAAATCTGTAAGCAGCATTTGTCTTCAGATAGCACTAGTCCAATGCTCAAATAGGTTTCTGCTGGGTACAGCGGTGCGTCTTTTCTACAAGCTTTTTTGAATAAAACTTATTTAGAAGTTATTTGAAAGATTTTTTAAATGTTTTTCAATTGCTTCAACTAAAGTTCAGTGTGCAAACAAGTTTTTCTTAATTCATAAATTAAAAATAAAATCCTACTTTCTTCACCACTGTTTCATTTTTGGAGGGGAAAAATTTCTCTTCTGACAAGCGTTTCTTAGAGACAGGTTAATGTTAAAATTTTACTTTGGAAGGGATGTGTTTGAGAACAGTTGTTCAAT